ATTGGTTCATGGTTTAAATTCGGCTCCATGGTTTAAATCCGACTCAAGCCATACTTTATTGGTAAAGAAGGCGTGATCTTCCAAATTAAACGCTATTCCACGGTGCTCTGTGATAAGGCTGCTTCGTATTTAAATAACTAAAAAAACAAAAAAACAGAATCCGTAAGGTTTAAAAAAGCTATACAGCGCGAAAACACTGATTAGACAAAGAACTGGTCAAAGTCCAAATAATTGCCATTAAATCCTAAACCAATAATTAGATATCATTTGGAGAAGAGTTGTAACAATCTTGTTAAATAGATGCATAAGCGATGTTAAATTAATGCATAAGCGATGTCTAGACTATAAAAATGAATTAATTGATTCTTTTGTAAAACAAAAAGATGGTTCTTTTTGCCTTTATCAAATCCCAGCAAAGAAATACTAATTTTTTGTATTCGATCATTCAAACAACCAATAATTCTGAATTAATTTAGAAGAAATTATATTAGAAATAAAAACATTTTATTTCTAATATCATTTCTTCAAATATTTTAAAAGTTAATTAGCTCAGTTTGATGAAATACAGGAAAGTTTAATGTATACATTGTATACATTTGCATTATATATTATTTTAATAGTATTATAAATTATAGTATAGTTTCATTATTATAACATATTTAAATATAAAAGTGGATTTTTACATTTTTTTATGTTATTAAATAATTTCTTTATTTAATGACATACTTGACATCGTTATTAATATTTACTATGTCATCATTCAAAAATTTAAACAGATTTCATTTAGAAAAAAAAATGTATTTATTCAAGAAACATGTGTTGATACAAGAAATAATGTGAACTGAAACTTAATTAACAGATAAAATTTGTTTATTAGAGTAAAGTTTTCAAAAAAGGACTTAATCTCTATTTAAATCAGATCAGATGAATAGACAAACAGGTAATTATCAAAAAAAAATTTAAGGTTTGTTTTTTACCTAAACTTTGGCTTTAGAAGCTCGATAAATTGGTAGAATAGATTGAATAACTGTTTGACAAAATACTATTAAAAATGGTTTAGTAGAGAGACAACTATTAACCAGAGATGTAGACGAGGCATCTCGAGACCAAAGTCTTGGTCTCGAGATGCCTCGAGACTTTTATTTAACTGTCTTCGTCTTGGTAATGGTATTAAAACCTAAAGTCTTGGTCTTATTCTTGGTCTTGAAAGCCTAGAGTATTGGTCTTGGTCTTGGTCTCGGACCTCTACTGTCTTTTACATTCTTGATTCTTACACAAAATATCAACTTAATGAATGGACTAGTTATTAATAACAAACCGTAGATTGCCACAACTTCCCGCTCTCAATGAGAGCCTTGATCTTGGTCTTTTATAAACTTTTAAAGTCTTGTTCTTGGTTTGATATTTTGATATCATTGTCTTGGCCTTCGTCTTAAAGCATTCAGTCTTGGTCTTCGCCTTGGTCTTGAACCCAAATGTCTTGGTCTTAGTCTTGGTCTTGGCCTTTAATGTCTTGACTACATCTCTGCTATTAACCCTTCTTTTCTTATGAAATCTGATGAAAATATTAGCTGGGCACTAAAGAAAAACCCAGTGCAACGCCATCTGAAAATCAATTTTTTTAAGAACAAATTCCTATGTTTGGTTGTGTGATTATGAAAAGAGAAACATTTATTAACCTATATTTTTATGTTTAAAATTTAGTTACAATGAAATTAAATCGTATATTTATAAGACAATGAACCCATCTGTTTCCTTCTTTATTAAAATAAAATTTAAGATATTTCATTTGCTTCCATTCATTCGCTTCCATTCATTCACTTTCATTCTTTTGAATTGACTCTAATTATACAAAAATTAAAATTAAAAATATTTCTCATAAATATTTCTCATATTTCTCATAAATATTTCTCATAAATATTTCTCATAAATGTTTCTCATAAATATTTCTCATAAATATTTCTCATAAATATTTCTCATAAATATTTCTCATAAATATTTCTCATAAATATTTCTCATAAAAATTTCTCATAAATATTTCTCATAAATATTTCAAAGATGTTCCAATAAAATTGCTAAAGTTTACTTCTAAAAACAGTTTTTGTTTAAAAGATCCACTTAATATCTCATGTTGTCTACAAATTTTCTTGCGCCGGTTGTACTGTCAGTTATATTAGAGAAACCTCCTGACATTTGATAGTTTGGATAAACGAGTACCAACTTTTAAGGTCTTAGATACTGCTCCAACCAAACATAAATGAAAGACTTTATCACAGTGGGCATGCGTCGTCCAGGGGACGTCTGAAGCACCTTCCTTGAACGACGCGTGCTCACTGGGATATTAAATGCGAAAATCCATCACTTAATAAACAAGCGTCTAATTCTCCTATTAACTTATCTATTTAGTTGAACTCCAAGTTTATTGTATTTCGAATTTGAAAATTGAGCTATTTTTTTAATCTTTTTTATTGATTTATCATATAAATTTTTGTTCGTTAATTTTTTTTTGCAATATCTTATATTTTTAATATTTAATTAAGAGTTTTTATTGTAAAATCAAATCTTTTGAAAATGTAATAACCACAAAGCATATATACATATATATATATATATATATATATATATATATATATATATATATATATATATATATATATATATATATATATATATATATATATATATATATATATATATATATATATATATATATATATATATATATATATATATATATATATATATATATACATTTATATATATACATTTATATATATATATATATATTTATTTATATATATATATATATATATATATATATATATATATATATATATATATATATATATATATATATATATACATATATATATATATATATATATATACATATATATACATATATATATATATATATATATATATATATATATATATATATATATATATATATATATATATATATATATATATATATATATATATATATATATTTATATATGGGCCAGAGCCTTAAAATGACTCAAAAAAAATAAAATAAAAAGATCCTTTAAAATTTTTGGGTGCCCCTAAATTTGCAGGGCCCGGAGCTATAGCCCCCCTAGCCCCCTTGATCCGACATATATATATATATATATATATATATATATATATATATATATATATATATATATATATATATATATATATATATATATATATATATATATATATATATATATATATATATATATATATATATATATAATTTTCCTGCTTTAGGAAAATTTATTTTAAGTTAATTGACTGAATAGAATTGTAATTTCATTAAAAAAGCAAATAAAAATAGAGTAGAAGTATTGGAATTTAAAGCCAAAAGCCAAAAGGGCTTTGTGTAAAACTCTACAAAACTAAAGGATAAATATATATTTATAAATACATATTGTAGAAATATTTGAAATATTTGGAATTTATAACTTTATTTGTTTAAATATTTGAGATTTTTCTTGGCAGTAAAGAAATGGACTAAATTAATCGTTTGTGTGTCAATTAATTGTTGTGTTTCAATTTTTGAGTTCCATTTTCGGCTAATCTGCTGCTAAGTTTCCTAAGAACAAAGTTCGCTCATTTTCGATATAATCTGTTTCTCTTTCTAGAAACTGCAAATAACTTTAACGCCATAATTTATTGTAAAAATTTATTAAAGAGCAAACAAATAATTTTTGTAACAACACCGTCTTTTAAACCATTACCATTTGTAACAACACCGTCTTTTAACTTTTAAACTGTTCTTCCTCGCTATTTATTTGTCATTAATATCATATGTTATTTATTTGCTATGAAACTAAATGAACCGTTTAGCTTGTTAATGAATTATTGTTTTAAACACATAATTCCATTTACTTATCTTTTAAACATAAGAAATTATTTCTGATGAGTTACGACAATAAGATTTGATGTGAAATTAATTTCAATTGAAATCATTTCACATCCTGCAACTCAAACATGTACAATCGTTTAAAAATGTCACGTGTGCAATAATTTTTAAAATCATGATGTATACAAAGGTAAATATAAAAAAAAAATCTTGACTTATTGTTTGATTCTACACTATTGCGTTATTTTTTTTTTTTTTTTTTTTTTTTTTTTGCTTTTTTTGTTTTCGTTTTTGTTTTTTCCCTTTCTGACAATTCTAAAATATTTAACAAAACAATAAATTGCAAATTATTTAATATCAAGCCATTTTGTACGCAAGTTAAAATATGATTTTTATATGCTTGCTAAGCCTAATTCTGTCTTGATCAACAGTGGATGACCAAAATTGCTATGACTACGCTATCTAACAAAAGACGGGAAAACGATGTAAAAAGCAAGCTTATTTAATTAGAGAATGGTAAGATAAAAGATAAGTTAAGATTAAACGCGCTAGTGAAATTCGCAAGCATCAAACAAGTATGTTTATTGTAAAAGTAAATATGGTTACTTTGTGACAAGCGATCATTTTTTAATAATTCGTTTGTAAACAAAAATTATGTGGTAGTTATTGGTAAGGTAATATTTTGTTAATGTATTTTTTTTTTATCCTCTATCTTTAAACTTTCGATTTTCTATAATTGTCAGACTTTTCCTTCCTTTTTATTATCCTTCCTTCGAGAATACGCTCCTTCCTTATGGTAGAATTTAAAATTATCCATGTATGCATGAGTGTATGTTTTCTTTCTTATTTTATCATTCTTTTTTACGATAGGTGCGTCTTTTTAATGTTTGTATGTACGTATGTATGTATGTATGTATGTATGTATGTATGTATGTATGTATGTATGTATGTATGTATGTATGTATGTATGTATGTATGTATGTATGTATGTATGTATGTATGTTAATGGTCAAAATCAATCTGTTCTTATTGTTACTACAACACCATTCTTAAGTGTATAAAAGTTACATATAAAAAAAATTATAAATCCGCATGTATACTATCGTTTACTGATTAATCGATACAATATCGAATTTTGTAGCACAACATATTTTTGTTGTTACTATGATACAATATTTGTAAATGTTGTTGCTGTGATGGAATGATGCACATCGTACTTTATTACGTACGTTACAACGCGTACTTCAACAGTGCCGAGTTAACACGCGCGTAATTGATTATGCAATTGGCTTTAGTTAGAAATCAGCAATCTAATTTGAGGTTTGAAAGTAAAAGACCTACCAAAAATGTTAAGATAAATTGTTTATTCTGACGTTTGTTTTATCATGATGAGTCGTTATTGCGGAAGATGCGTTGATGTATGTTTGTAAAGATTGTTTACTGTGACTCTATATAACTTTTTTCAATAAACTTTCATTGAAAAACAAAAATGAAGACATGTTTTCAAAATCTAGTACAAGTTTTATATAAACATTCAAACAACATCAAATTAGTACAACATATTACTTAATACTGTTGTTAGTCGAGCAAGGATTGACATCAATATCTAAATCCTTTTCTTTTTTTGGAGAGAATGACTTTAAAAAAATTTTCTTCAGGTAAGAACAATGAGTAATCCACGTATATTGAAGTAATTGTTAAGAAATAATGTTATCATTTATCTTCATTATTATTTTTAATTATCTTTACTTGTATCTTTAATTAGTACCTTTTAAAAGTCAAATATTAATCAAACGTTTTTTACAAAAATAGTAGTTCATCTTAATTTTTTCCTTCAATTTGCGTAAATAAAATATCGGTATAAAGTTCTATTCAAATTGGGCAACAAATTGCTGCATTCTCTTCTCGTTGTTTTTACTCCGCCTGAGGATTTAATTTTTAGGTAATGTTCATGTCAGTGGTGGTCGTCAATGTTGTAGAGTACCTACTGGTAACAAGAAACTTAACTATGAAACAACCTCAAATGTTAATCATTAACTTATCTAGGACTTTTTCAATCATCAACTTGTATTTCACAGCAGAACCATAAAAATCTAATTTTTCCGGTTTTAAAATGTCTAGTAAATTAGTGACAATAAAAACAGTGGTTTGGCCACAAGGATTGCAAGCTTAATTCGACAGTTAAAAAAAAGTCGTGCAACAGTTACAATGAGGCTAGTTACAGTCACAACGAGGATACGTAGTTGTTAGCCTAATTCTTACCAGACCTACACTTGGTACTATAAATAAATATAAACTTGTATATTTATTGTATTACCTCTGATCCTGCTGATTAATGTTACTGAAGATTAACACTGTTACTGGTTGTTAGCACAAATAAAAGATAAATACTTAAGAATTAATAATTATAATTTTATTTAAACTATAATTCCTTTGTCGTATGCTTTGTTTGTCTAATGTCAAATACTTTTTTGTTTAATTTGATTTATTTTGATTTATTGCCAGATAAATGTCAATTCGATAAAAAAGATGTGTTTTCATAAAAAAATAAAAACAAAAAAATTTATTAAAAACAGAAAATCTTGATGTGATAAAAAATTTATTTTAAAGTATTTATAGTAAAATTTTTTTTTTTTTTATAGTTTATTTATTACTAAATAAACTTTTTTTTTTTTGTTTTTAAATGTTACATTTATCTATGGGTTACACCTTCTAGAACTAAGCAATATTAGGTTTTTTAGGATTTTTTGGGAGAGGGTTCCATTGTCTAAACATTGCGTTTAGTGGGATATTGATTTAGCGCTTCCATCACGCAAATGGTAAGTACACTAATCAGAATGTATGTAAACTCGGATGATTCGTTCATCGATTGAATTTCAATAGTTTTGGATAAAAAATTACTAAGAGTAGAATTTTTAGATAAAAATTGATAAACAATCTTTACAAAACAAATATTCAAAAGTATCTGAGATTCATTTATACAGACAAAAAAGCATTTGATTAAGCTTTTAACTGCATAAATCTCAGTTAAATGGCAATTAAATTCCCAGTTAAATAGCAATTAAATTCTTAAGTGGATTTAAATAAACATTCTTTTCAGAATTTTAGTTAAAATGTCTTTTGCTCATATTATATATATATATATATATATATATTGTAATAAGTCTATTTTTTATAATGTATTTCCCGTGTATAGATGGTGATATAAAAGTTAGATAATTGGAAAATTTTTAGAAAAGCATTTAACCAAAATAACTTCAAATTACTAATTATTTTTATATTATTTTACACTAAAACGACGAGCTTAAACAAAAGTGTTTTTTCTAAAAATACTGTATTTAGGTAATCAGTATTTTTAACAAATAGAAACTTTCGAATTAGTCCACCATTATTATTTGAAAAATACGGCCTATTAATTAATGAATGATAGTTTGTTAATGATGTGGAAGTAATTAACGAATAGACAATTTTTTTATTAATTAATAAAATTAGAAATAACAAAATACTTATTTTTATATTTTTTTCTCAAATTTTAACCTAATTATATTTAAGGTATAAAATGTCAACACGACGCTCCGGACGCAGAACAGAAAGAGACGACGATGAAATCGAAGAAGTAGTAAGACATAGACGTCATCAAAAAAACCATACAGATGACGAAGCATCACAAAGATTGAGACGAAAGCAAGACTATAGTGATAATAACAACGATGGTTCGAGGAAAGGACACATTGAAGAAGATAAGTTTCACGAAGAAGAAAAAAGAAACAAAAATCATACCGAAAACGAAGAACCCGTGAGACGACACAGACCAAGAAAAAAATACAGTGAAGAAGAAGAAAGCGAAAAGTCTATTGAACACGACTCTAATAATAACAAAAAAGATCATAACAATTTTCAAATTGATCAGCCGACAGCTGAATCAAAGCCGTCAAGGCAAAGAACCCAACGGAAAGAAGACAATATAAGTGACGGTGAAAGTATTGAAATTAATAAAAGGAGTAGAAGTAGAAATGAATCGACAGAAAGTAACGAAGAAGGAATTACAAGATCTAGAAGAAAACAACATGAGTTAGAAAATGAAAATGATATTCTTGGTAATACGAATACTCCTAGAACAAGGGTACAGAGAAGAGAACAAAGTACGAATGAAGTTGAAAATAACGAAATTGTTAGAAGACCTCGACAAAGAAGGGTATTAACAGAAAATGAAGAAAATGAAACAAGATCGCAAAATGATGGCAAATACATAATTACTAACGAAAAAGAAATATCAGAATCCGAAGACACTTTAAGGAGGGTAAATCGACGGAGAAGAGAAAATACAAAAGAAGATAAAAATATTGAAGAAAATTGCAGCATTCTTAAAACTGAACAGAATTTTAAACCTTCTCATGATGAAGCATTAATATTAGCCAATAAAAAGCAAAATTTGCACGACGATAAACAAAAAAACGAACTTGACAAACACGATTCTTTTAGTAACAAATTTCAGACACAATCTCCCAAGAATCAAGATTGCTTATCAGAAAATAACAAAAAAGAAGATAATAAAAATGAAACAATCTACAAAAAAGATATTTCAGAAAATAAAGTTACTGACAACGTAAAAATTGTTCAAAAATTACCAAACCCTGTTCTTGACCAAGAAAAAAATAAAATTGTTCAAAAATCACCAAACCCTGTTCTTGACCAAAAATCAACAAACCCTGTTCTTGACCAAAAATCACCAAACCCTGTTCTTGACCAAGAAAAAAATAAAATTGTTCAAAAATCACCAAACCCTGTTCTTGACCAAAAATCACCAAACCCTGTTCTTGACCAAAAATCACCAAACCTTGTTCTTGACCAAGAAAAAAACAAAATTGTCCAAAAATCACCAAACCCTGTTCTTGACCAAGAAAAAAACAAGTCAGAAACAGAATGTAGAAACATAGAAAATAATTGTTACAGTGACAGTAACGAATCTAAAGCGATGATTAATACTCATGAGAATAGAAATGAGCAAGTAACAGACAACCAACAACAAAAGATTGACAATATAAGTATCGGATGTGAGAAAACAAACAACGAGGAAAATAAAAAGGTTAAAAGTTTTAGCGATCAAACAAAAAAAAATGTTGAAAAACTGAAAACAAGTAAAAAAATAATTCCAAGTGTTCCAGAAAAAAAAATAACAACTAATAAGTTTGCACCAACAAGTTCTTTTAACAATAAAACTAAAGTTATTTCTAAAGCTATGGAGGAGAAGCAGAAACCTTTGTATAACGCGTCTCCGCTTGAAAACAATTTACCTTCAACTCCATCTGCTTCGACCAATTTTTCAACTGATATTTCTTCATCCGAATTTGATTCAAAATATATTTCCAAGAATGAAGACGAAGTTAAATCAGAAAACGAATATACAAAAAATGTAAAAAGTGAAACTCAAAACAATGGTTACTTTGATGATGTAAACAATTTAAATAATCAAAACAATAGTAACGCACATGACGTCACACATGAAAATTTAAATAACTCTCTTCCAAACAAAAATTCTGATATAAACGACAATAATATAAGCCAAGTTGAAACAAATTACCAAAGTGAATTAAATTATAATGAAGTTACGAGTGATTTACATAACGGTCATTTGATTGATGAAACAAATAGCGATCGTATGGTTAATGACGTAAACTTTTATAATAATAAATTAAAAGAATCTTTAACAAATATAAAAAGCTCTTATTCTGGTTCTCAGTTAATTGATAGTCTAATGGACACTTATTTGAATCAAGACTATTTACCAGGAGCGAGCAGTGTAAAATCTCACGGAAGTAAAAAAGAAAGTGGAAAGCAACCTCCTTTTGTGAAAGCTAAACCTAATGTTGAATCAAAAAATTTAAAAGAACCAGAACAAGTTTACGTAGAATGGCCACCCAAAGAGCCACCACAAGATATTGGTGCATACATAGTTGAAAGTTATGGAAAAACTGATCCTTACTCCAAAAAGCTAATTAAAGATATTCAAAGAAGTAAAAGAGAAGAAGAAGAAAAGCGTGAAGCAGAAAAAAGAGCCGAAATTGTTTCAGAAAATACACAAGCAGTCTCTATTCTTCGATCAACGTTCAGTTATAAGCCAGCAACACCAAAAGCTGGCGTGCAGAAACCCACTTTAGCTGTTGCAGAAGAAAGGTCATGGATAAAACATGAGAAAAAACCTGAAGAATTTGATAGTACACCAAGTGAACCGGATTGGATGACTCTTGTTCGTAACAGAAGATGGAAATCAACAGTTCGAGCAAGATTCCCCGGTAAATCATCCGATAAAACTGATTTTGAACGACGGTCAACAACGCCTAAAAATTGGAAAAACTTAGCTAAAGATAAGCAAGCTTTACAAGCTTTGTCTGAAGTTGTTGGAATCGGAGCTGAAGGTATGATAAATTACATCTGCTTTAAATTTAACGCGTCTAAACGCTTTTCTATATGTTTTTAAAAAAACTAATAACTTATAAAATATAACATAAAATATATATATGTTTATGTGTATAAATATATATATATATATATATATATATATATATATATATATATATATATATATATATATATATATATATATATATATATATATATATTAAATAAATATTATATATATATATATAATATATATATATATATAAAATATATATATAAAATATGTATATATTTAAAATATATATATATAATAAATAAATATATTTATATATATATAATGTATATATATATATATAAATATATATATAAAATATGTATATATATATATATATATAAAATATATATACATATATATAAGATATATATATATTTATATATATATTTATATACATATATATATATATATATATATATATATATATATATATATATATATATATATATATATATATATATATATATATATATATATATATATATATATATATATATATATATATATATATATATATACACACACACTAAGCATGTGTATATATATAAATATAACTATATATTTATATGTTTACATAAATATATATATATATATATATATATATATATATATATTTAAAGGCTTTTAAGTACTGCTGCATCATCTCAAAAAAAAAAGAGGAAAGAATTGAAAAAAAGTTCTTTCGCGTTATCAGTGAAGATTTGCAGACCTAAATCCACAATATGAGAGAAAAAAAAGTTCTTTAATCTAATTCATGTTCGTATAATAGGTGATAAATGTGAACGAAATCAGAAATTAACGAATGAAGGCTTAAAAAAATTTTTACATAATCAATTTATCATGTTTTTTTCTGAATAATCAGTATTGATTTTGAAATAACTGCAAAATGCAGTTCTGTTATTTATTTTTTTCTGATCATTAAGTGGCTCTAATAAGATCTATCGCTTTCGTTACAAATTGCCGCGTAAGAACCTTTTCTCCTTTCTTTTTTTTTTCTTTTTTTTTTTTCATTATTACTGCGGATTTATTTTTAAAATAAAAAAAAGATGTAACAAAAAGGAAGAGCTAAGTTTAAAGTAGGCATTTTGCATGGGAAGTTTTTGTTATCTTTCTTACAGAGGCGTAGCGATTAGGACAGACGAGGCAAAGACAACAGGGTCACCGAGACTGTAATATGGTTGAAGGCCACCAAATTTATTATAGGATTGCATAAATTGCGGAAAAATTGTTAAAAGAATAAACTTTGTCAACGAAGCTACCGAATTTGTTGCAAACCACTGCTTCCTTACCAATGTCGCCTTTATGACTGGATTATGCATCTTACCTCTTGATTCTGAGTTGGCGCTCCTACTACTACCCCAAAGCAGCCTAATTTATTTAAAATTTGAAATTATTTCTTATTTATCCAAAATTTAAAATCGCTACATAATTAGTTTAATTTACTTACTCCGTATTTATTTTTTAGAAATCCGTATTATTATTATTTAGAAACGAAAAGTTTTAGAACATAACTATTTAAAACTTGAAAATATAAACGTTACACCTTGTATCAAAATGTAAAACCATTACAAATTTATTTATTGAAGTTTTAAAACAATGTTTGAGTGCTATAACTTTTACATCGTCTTTAAGTTTCTATATAAAATTAAACTATTTTTTTTGTCAATATATCTATATATTATAATAAGATGTTATCTTTAAGAAAAATTTAATAGTTGCTTTATGCATTTTCTGAGATAGACATGAACTTCAAAGTATGAATTGAATTGAATTGAAAAAATATATACATTTTTTTAAATCTAATGTAAAATTAGATAAAAAACGTTGTTTTTATCTAATATTATAAAGCCAATTTACGATATCTGCATTATTTTTCCGCTGTGCAGTACCTTTAGGACACAGAAAAACAGTTGACTGTTCATGTTCACGAAAGTTTATTTGGAATATGTATCAACAGGATAAAGTTTAAAACATATTTTGCATACTTTTTTTTTTTGTTACAAGTATTATCCAGGTTTACAAAACAACAATTTTGCTTACAAACACATTAGATACCTGTGGTAAAGCATGTAATGCCTTCTCTAATGCGATTACTCTCATAATTCACATGAGCTGTGCGAATAATCACTTTAGTGAGGTATCATGCAGTATACTTAAAGTTCATATTGAATAGGTATGTATGTTATAATAAGTATTTATAATCAAAAATATATATATATATATATATATATTTTTGATTATTAATACTTATTATAACATACATACCAAAATTACCTATTATCTGATATATATATATATATATATATATATATATATATATATATATATATATATATATATGCATATATATATATATATATATATATATATATATATATATATATATATATATATATATATATATATATATATATATATATAGTATATATATATATATATATATATATATATATATATATATATATATATATATATATCAGATAATAGGTAATTTTGGCTTATATTGAAAATGGAATAAACAATAATATTCAATAACAAAATTTTTATGGCCCTGTTAATAAGTGTAGCACCTTTTATAATTAAAAATGGAAATTTACGGAGAGTTTAACTAACTATAAAAAAATTTTAAAAGAAAAATATTAAAGCAATATTTTTTATCAAAAAATGTTACTGCCTTTTATAAAAAAGTATTACTGCCATAACTAATATGTAAATATTATTTCTGTTCATTATGAATATATTAGTTATGGTATATTGTCATTTAGTTACTAAAGTTCGTGTTCCCAATCGGTATCTTCTTCTTTAAAAAAAATCTTCAAAAATATCTTTAGCTTCGGAAACTGACACTTTTTTTAAGGTTTATTTAAGACAGGAAAGGGTATAAATGGAAAATGATTTGATGAATAAGTCTGACCCTTACGGAATTTTTTTATTTTCAGGAAAACCAGTTCTTACAAAAATATTTTAGGAGGAGGTTGCTAGCACACATACGTTGGTAAAACGTTAGAACAATATTTCGAATTGCGTTGGAACAACACCGACGTTGTTTTTATATTATATTGTTTACAAATGTTACGTCACTAACATATATATTTTTTTTTAATTTGAGTTTTTCATGCTATATTTTTCTATACAATGCTTTTATATCCGAAGATATTGTTGGCTTAGCATAGGAACAGCCACAAATAGTCATTTAGACTAATTTAAAGTAGCTTCCGGTATTGACCAACATTTTTGCGTACCGAAGTACTACTCAAGCGGCCCAGTGGGCACCGTACCAAAAAAAGACGTCTTTTGGACGTTCAAAAGACGTCCAAAACGTTCAAAAGATGTTCAAAAAACGTCCAAAACGTGTATAAGACGTTTAAAAGACGCCTTTATTACATCCGTGTCCACTGGGGCTGAGTTGGCGGTGGCGGGATTTGAATAAATAATTTGATTATTTTTTACGATCTAAGATGAGCTTAGATCGTAAAAAACGATCAAATTTTACAACGTTTTTCCATACGGCAAACCGATGTAATTGCGCAAGCTGTTTTAGTTGCATTACTCTTTTCATTAATATCATTGCTAAACATATGACCAGAGGCGGAGAGCTAAACATATGACCAGAGGCGATTCTACGAATATAATGTAAAATCGCCTGTGCACATGACATTGTATTAACATTGGATTTGCATTGAAAAAATGCCTAATGTATGTGTGCTAACTGGAATTGTGCATATATAAAATATATATATATATATTATTTTAAATATTAGTTTATTATTTAATTTATCTAGGACTGTTTTACATGCTTTAGATAAATGATTAAGTGTTTAAGTTGATTATTTTACGTACTTAGGCGAAGAGCTGCTCATGAGGTTAGCAAGCCAACGTAATAAAATTGAGGAAAAGCAAAAAGAATTAGACAAACAAGCGCAAGAAGAGTTACTAGCGTATGAGGTAGCAAGAGAGAGGTTGGGAAGTGATACAGCATATAGCTTACAAATGGACAACCCACTTCCTGCAGCTCGGATGAAATTGAATCCATCATATCCAGGTGTATCGGCAGGTAAATAAAATAAAAGTTTTTTTATAAATTTTACTGCTAGGGATTCTGGATCATATTTCTAAGGTTTTTAGATTTTTTCAGATAGCGTTTATGGCAGTAAAGAGAGTCTTAACAGTAATAACTATCCGTTTACTAACTCACAATTGGAGGCGGCCTACCTTACCAACAAGCTCCTTAGGCTGCACCCTGAAGAACTAAAAAAACTAATATCTTTAGAAAGATCACGCCAGGCTACTTTAAGGTAAATTGATAAACAAAAAGTAGGAATCTTTTCAATTAAACATAATTAAATTTTTATATTTTAAAATAACTTATATTTCTTTAAATTTTCGTAAATTACATTTGAGCAGTTTAAATAAAAGTGATTGTTACTATATATATATATATATATATATATATATATATATATATATATATATATATATATATATATATATATATATATTTGACTTCGATCATAGATGGCAGTTTTCAGCCGATAAGTTTGATTCAGTACACGATCACCAAAACTTTCCGATTGATGTTGCTCTTCTTGCATCACAAGAACCTCGTCTCATGAAAAGTGAGTTTAATTATTTGGTAATCTTACTGCAATATAGCTCAATATAACTCGATAACTTATATTTAAGTTTGAAATACTTTAAATAAAGTTTTTTGTTTGCAAAAAACTTTATTTACACTTTATTGGTTCATTTATTGTTGTAAAAAGCAATTTAATTTGTTAATTATTTACGAGTAGTTGTCATCTTCGCCAGGCTTACGCATAATGATTTCAACAACGTTTTCTCCAGTAAATGTTTCTTATTAAAAAAAAAAAATCTCTAAGAGATATCTTGATAAGTAAATAAAAACGAAACATTTATTAAATTAAAAGTTCTTTTAATGTTAATAATATGTGAAACTGTTAAATATTGTTTAATTGTGATTTATTTTTAATATATGACATACTTGCCAACCGTATCACATACTAAAAAAAAAAATTATTACATTTTTTTATTACGATCTAATTGAAGGAAAGATTTCGTTTACCGGCTATATAAGTTGTTCACAAATATTGCTTTAAAATTGCTCAATTAAGAAAATGTTTCGGTTTGTAAATTTTAAATGTGACAAAGAGTTTCCGATTGAATTCGCAAAAAATCAAGTTTTTTTTCAATACCTAGTTGAACACCTAGTCTAAATGTTGGAAAAATTGCATTTTATCAACACCCAGTTGAAAAAAAATGCAATTTTTTCCACATATAGACTACTTTTTGGGCATATTAATTTCCAGGCTCTAATCAGTATAACTTTTTTAGCAGAGCATTATTATAATTATAAACATACAAATGTTTGGAGTTTAGAAATTATCTGGAAGTTACTTAAAAACTCCTGAATTCTCTGAATAAAAAATTATAAAATGGAATTTTATTAGCAAATACTGAACCAGTGGAAAATTGGTTATTCGATTATTCTGTTCGATTATTCAATTTCGGTTTGGTTCGATTATTTGATTATTCGACCCGGTTCGAAAATTGGGAAAATTTTCTACCAGGTTACTTTTTCATCACCGGGTCACCGTTTGTAGCAATAAAGATTGCGATTTAGCCAAGAGGGTCTTTAGCTACATATGCTCGCAACAAATCAAGTTCCTACCAAATTTTCCTCGCAGACAGCTTTGTAAATCAACTTCACACAACACATGCTATCTTCTTTACTATGCCTTATTTCTGTTTATACCACTCAAATTTTTATTATTTTTGCTAGTAGCTGTATCCTTTTTTAGTTTTTATTATTTTGGTAGTTTTATCTAAACCAACTGTGTTGATAGTTACAAACCTACGATATGAAGTTATGGAATAGATACAAACTTGCCGTATTGTTATTCTTAGCTACAAAAATGTATATATGTATATATATATTATATATGTATATATATATATATACATATATGTATATATATATTATATATATATAGGTATATATGTATATTAAATATGTATACATATATATATATATATGTATACATATATAATATATGTAAATATGTATATATGTATATTATATATGTATACATATATAATATACATATATGTATATATATATTATATATGTATATATATATATATATATATATATATATATATATATATATATATATATATATATACATATATATATATATATATATATATATATATATATATATATATATGTACCTATATATATTCATATATATATATATATATATATATATATATATATATACATATATATATATATATATATATATATATATATATGTATATTATATATATATATATATATATATATATATATATATATATATATATATATATATATATATATATATATATATATATATATATATATATATATATATATATATATATATATATAGTATAGTTAGTGAAATAATATAATAATGTATTATTATTATTATATTTTTGACCCGCTGGGAAATTGGCTAGCGACCAGCTAGCCGTAGCTAACCATAACATAACGGTAAGTTTGTATCTATTTGATGGCTATATATATAGTAGGTTTGTAACAGGGCTGTTTTAGATAAAACTACCAAAATAATAAAATATGATCATCAAAAGCTTAGGACCATCATAATTTTAAAAACCAAGGGTATGTCAAATACTCTCAAAACTCAAAACATATATGTTAAACTTAAAAGCAGCCAAATATTTTTTCAAAATTCTTTAGTGGTTAAGTAAATTCAAAAAGCTCACAAAATTCAAAGTTTCAAACAATTATATTTTTTCTAACTGTCGTCGTATCACTTTTGCAGATCACTCTGTCTATTAAGTACCATACTAAACCTTTATCTGTCCGCGTCGGCCGTTTTAGCTCAACGTGTTATCGAGATTATATTTATAGTATAATGTTTATATTAACAAAAAATTTAAATTATTTTTTTAATTTTAATTTTACTTTTTATTTTTAATTTTAATTTCTGTTTTTTAAAACTGTTTATAAAAACTAGCAATGAAAATGCTGCTTTCCAACGAAAATAAAGATGAATACGAATCGGAGTATTCTACAAGATCGGATTCGCGAAACCGAACGCAATCTGACTGCACTTACATGGGCGATTCTGACGGATACGAAAGTAGCAGCAGTCATACATCTTCTGTGGCAAGTACTAGAAGTTTTAAAAAAAAAGCTCCGGTACCTCCACCTAAAAAAAACAGTGAAAATGTACTTAATCCGTACACGTCTTCACTTCCTAGACGAACAACACAAAAATCTTCAAAATATCAAGACATTAACGATAACAGAGAAGTTTTTCAACACGGTTTTTTAACGGACGAAGAGTTATCAATGAGCGATGAAATAGAAAAAATGCAGGAAGCATTGCGACGCGGTGAAAAAAAAGCATATGAAGAACTAAGAAATAAAACCAGTACACCATTACTCGGTTTTTTTGAAGATATCGCACAAGCGCAAATAAAACCTTGTGATTTCACAAAAGAAATAAACCAGGAAGAGATTGCGTCTCGGCGCCAAAGTTTTATAGAACAGGACAATAAATCAAACATGGATGCCCCAGAAATTATACCAACTACACGTCATAAAGTTAAACGAATAAACAGTAATGCACAGTTAAACGCATTGTTTAGAAAGCGTCGTGAAAGATCCGAGTCAGACTGTGAAAATAATTCTAGTGATCATCAATCAGACGAAAAGCCGTCTGAAGAAATGAAAAATTTGCTTACTAATATTACTAATACGTTTGGGCAATAATATTACAAGACTTTATAAAGTATGAAGGTCAACTTTAAAAAAAATTTTTAGCTCCATTTTTTAAATAGGTAAAAAAAATTAGCATTTTAAATAGCATCGTATTTAAGCATAAATTATTGTAATTTTTATTCAAAAACTTTCAGCTTTAACAAGTACACCAATCGTTTTTACATTACATAGTAGATAGTATTTAATATTTACAATTTCCATGTTTAAACTTACCAAGTAAGAATACATTGTTAATTTGCTTTAGTTTATTATATTGTTGACAAATCCTACAATTCCCAATATTTAAAGTAATTATATGATATTGGCATAACCATAAAGGCGAGTTTTGACGCTCGAAATATTTCTGTTTTTTATTAAAAAGTAAAAAGATAATTAAAAAAAATAGAAAATATGATTTATTAAAGCACAAGACTCAATTAATGAAAAATTTGTTCTAGAATAACCGATCTATTAATAGGCCTTAGTAGTTTTTCTACTAGAAATCTTTTCATGATGAATCTGACAATTTAATAATCTCTAGATAAAAGGTTCCATAGATCCTTATAGAAATTTTTGACAAGAGTTTATTTATACAAACTTTAATGTTAAAGACATTTTACCTAATTTTATGATGATATTTTTTGGTTACGCAATACTTTTTACGTCAACTCTAAATTATTTAGATCAATAAACAGTGTAATTATTATAAACATTTTAATTAAGTCAATAAGCAATTTAATTAAGAATTATTAAGATCAAATAAGAATTTATGCATTGCGTTTGAATTTGGACAGCTTTCGCATGATCTTCACGCGCGGGCAAAAAAGATTTCCTAGCAAAAAATAGATCAACAAATTAACCTGCAAATTTAAATAATTTATTGAATAAATTTATAAGTTGTAAAAAGTTTAGCATGATTGATTAAACAAAAGTAGTTAGTGATAATTGAAAACATATTTGAAAAATTTACCTAAATTGAAACAACTATAAATTGGAGCAATTTTTTTTTTTAATATTTTTTATCTCCTGAAGGCCAAGAGAGCTACAACAGTCTAGAAGGCTACTTTGTTGTCTTTACAACCCTCTCTCAACTCCGAAACACAAACCTTGACGAATAGGGTCGCTGCGCGGAGAAACAAACATAGCAAGGACGTGGTGTCGATCAAATTCGGAACTTTTTCCTTATGAAGCTAGCGCTCTTGCAATACTCCACTACCCATAGTTTATTTTGTAAACAAATTATCTTAAACTTATATATTGCATTTTTCTTGTTAAAAGTTTTCTTGTTAGAAATTTTTGGCATAGAATATTTACTAAAGTCTAGTGTATTTTGTTTGCCTCGTTTGATGAATTTTTATTCAAAATGATCAATACATATTATTGTATTATATTATTGTATAAATTCTATGGATATAAATTCAATATATATCCATAGAATTTAGATGGTTTTGAATTCTGTTTCTTGATCTAAGAAGAGCAGAAATCTTTGTCTACAGAAAAATTGTTTTAGTTATAAGATCTTTTTCTGCAAGCAACTAACAGCATTTTTTTAGGCATGTTTCAAGATAAACAAATAGCATAAAAATATAGAATAAAAGTTTGTTTTTGTTCCAATAGCTATAGTTATAAGTCTTTTGAAAATCACTTTGAGCAAAAACAAAGACCTGAACTAAATTACCTGAACTAAATTAAAGACCTGAACTAAATTAGCATTTTTTAATGTTTATATACAATATATTAAAGCATAAAGTATATAAACAAATGAATATATAAATATATTTTTTTATATTTAATTTATATTACGGTACATGTTAGTACAGATTTGTAAATTTCTTTCAATTTAAAGTATATATATTTTTTTTTTGCAAACTTCGTAACTTTTTTTTTTTTAACTTTTTAATTTTTAATTTTTGATTGCTTTTTTTTTTTCTCATTTCTTTAAAACTTTTTAGATTCACTCTTTTGTATAATAATATAACTTGTAAAATTATATTTTCTCTATTTCACGAAGGAGCTTGTTTATAAGACATTTTTTCATCTACTTGCTCCAATCAGATTGTATTTATATGTATTTATTAGATCTTAAGGGTAACATTGTAAAATGTGTGCAATTAATAAAATAAACTAAAAAAATAAATAAAAATATAACCAAAAATTTTCTGGATTACTCAATTCGAAGCAAAAGTACAAAGTGCAATTATTTTCTGATGAGGAGAAGATCTAATTAAAGAAAGCATTTTTTTTCGTTCTGTTTTCCTTTAAACTATGTTACATTTATTGTTTATATTTATACAATATATAAATTATATACAAATGAATAAATCAATAAAAACAAGGAGTAAAGAATTAGAAAACTCAAAGACGACCAATGTTTTGTCGCAGAGACATCTTTTTTAAATTTTTTGTATTTGGGTGTTGATGATTGGTTTAGGTGCTTGTAATAATCAAATGGTTGAGTTGAGTCCATATCGATTATCGATTATCGATCATTTTTATTATCGATAATCGTTTATCGATTTTCTGTTGAGTTGAGTTGAGTTAATCGATTTTATTGTTTAGTTATAAGAAGTTTATTTCTTTGATTATATATCCATTGTTCATTGTTTTTTGACTATATATCCATTGTTCATTTTTTTTGACTATATATCCATTGTTCATTGTTTTTTGACTATATATCCATTGTTCATTGTTTTTTGGCTACATATCCATTGTTCATTGTTTTTTGGATAAATGATTTTTCTTCTTTACTTTTTATTCATTTATTCCGTATTATGGAATTATCATTTTTTGGTCATTATACCTTCGTTTTTGTTTTGTTTTCTTTATTGTTTACACACTTTTTCTTCTTGCATTTTACACCCTTATGTATACAAACGTTCTATTTTGTTGGTAAACATTTTCAATATTACAAACTGAATTTCATATAAATAAAAGTATTTGTCTGTTTGAACTGATTTGATTTGTCGTAAAAGTTCTTTCTTGTCCTTCATTTCGTTTTTCGAACTAGTAATATGTACATGTCGCATATACTCACATATACATGCATATACATACTTATGCATACAAAGACATACATATATACATACGTACACGCGTTCACATAGACATATAGGTACGTACATACAAGCATATACAATACAATATACATTGTACACTTTTTTTTATTATTATTATTAATACTATATTATTTTCCGTTTTGCAACTGAAATATAAGTTAAAAATTTATTATTATAATAAATATTATGCTTAATATTTATTATAATAATAAATATTAAGCATAATATATGTTTTTATGAGCATATTGTATGTTTTTATGAACATAATATATGTTTTTATGAGAAAGTACAAAAAATCTGCAAAGAAAAAAATATAGAACATTCAGTCTGAATAATTCATGATATATATATATATATATATATATATATATATATATATATATATATATATATATATATATATATATATATATATATATATATATATATATATATATATATATATATAAACTCAGGGTGTGGGTAGAAAAACTATTTATTTTTTATTAATTAAAAATATAAAACTATATTATCAATAGATAAAATTATTTTCTTAATTTTTTTTTAAATGAGTTAAAATTCCATTCTTGAGAAAAGTCAAAATATCTAAAACTATTTCATTCCCAAAGAAAAGCTCCTCAAAATGAAACACAAGGTTTACCAATATTAGTATGCGAAAATTGTAGTCAAATAAAATTATCATTTCCTAGATGGTACTTGTTTTTTTTCTTTTAGTGAGTACTGGTTATGAATGGAAGAAGTGTGTACTTTTAGTGAGCACACGTAATAAATGGAAGAAGGGGAAAAGTTGGTTTTATATTTATACATAAAACATAAAACATTATAAACGTTAAGCTGATATATATTTTAAATATTTATTTCATGTAAGAGAGGCCTGGCATGAGTAAAACGATCTTTAAAGTTTATACCCAGCAAGCACACTTACGTTGGGCCAACGTATGTAAAACCATCGCGAACGTCGGCTCTTTTTTCCAATGCAAAACCAACGTTGATCCAATGTCATTTAGTTTGATAAAATTATTACCGACGGAACTGAAAACATCTGGCAAATTTACATTGGTCCAATGCATGTAAAAGCATCGCAAAAAGTTGATTGTTTTTACGATCAACGTAAAAACAACCAACTTTTTACGATTGTTTATATATATATATATATATATATATATATATATATATATATATATATATATATATATATATATATATATATATATATATATATATATATATATATATATATATATATATATATATATATAATAGAATTTAATGAAAATTTTATTCCGAATAATAGTGAAATACAACGTTGTAGCAACTTAAAATACAACGTTGAAACAACGTAAAACACAACGTTTTGCCAACGTATAAAATAAAACGTTGTATCAACGTAGAAAATATAACCATTTTCCGACTTAAAAAAAACGTTTTATCAACATTGGTTTTTAGTTGTTGGCGACGTCGCATTTTTAACCATAATGATATAAAAACAGCGTTGGCAGCCGATGTTGGGCCAACGAAACGCGCAACATTGTTCTAATGTTTTAACAACGTATGTGTGCTAGCTGGGTAAGACGTGCAATATTTTTCTGTTGATAATGTAGAGGTTCTAGTACACTTTTATTGACACTACCCCAAACAATATTAGCGTAGTTAATATTGAATCAATAAATGAATAATATAATTAAAGTATGTTTATTTAAGAAACTTCTTGATTTGTATAATATTCTTATAATTCTAGCAATTTTGTTATTTAGATTATTAACGTGATTTTTTCATTTAAGATTTTCATCAATATCAATGCCTAAAAATTTTATAATTTTTGTTTATTTTAATATTGTCAACAAAAATAAGAGGCGTTATACTTGGAATTAATTTTTTTTTTTTTTTTTGGAGTTGGGTAGAAAAACATCCATTTAGTTTTTTCTATATTAATTGATCATTTGTTTGATTTAAACCAGTTAGAAATTTTAATAAACTCAGAGTTCATATTGCTAAGTAATGTTCTAAGGTCATTTCTTGTTAAAAAAAGATTAGTGTCATCGGCAAACATATTATTATATAATGTATTGCTTTTTCCATTATTCTGAAGATGTGTTAAAAAAGCAGTGTTATAGGTTTTGTCCAAAAGTATTTGAGGGCAAGCAGCAACCAGACAGGCTCAAAAGAAATAAAGCATACAATACAAAATTATGTTTGATTAAGGTTATG